TTGTTAGGTATACTAAGTGCAGTGTATGAAATAACTATATATTCTTTTTATAATATATGCATTAAAATATTTTATTCATAACTGATTCCTAGTTGGTAGTCTGTGACAAATATGTAATATGATAATTAAATCAAATTAAAGACAGATAATATCAATCCTTTTAATAATACTGGATTCTAAAAAAATATTTAATTTTATTCTTGCATATATTGATTTAAAAAATTTTTTTTATATTGCAATGCGAATGAAATTTTATGGCCGTATTTGAACTTCCCATTTACATAAGAAAGAAGAGGACTTCGTAATGTTATATCGGAGCATTTAATAAAGTTTTTGAACCGTAGATTGCGAAGTAATAAGACGCGAAGTAATAAGATTGATGAATATAAAATACTAATATTTTACTTACATATTCCAACATATACATATAGCAAGATTTTATATATTTAGTCATACATTGTATATATATAGTTATTAGTAGAGTAATTATATATAACTCTACTAGTAATTATATATAACTCTACTAATAAGTTGTCATATATTCTAATAACTTGAATTAAATATTTTTATTTTTTGAATATTAGTTACTAAAAAAATTGTTTACAATAAATATATTACATGTGAGCATTACTTTTATATTTTACAAACCAGAAAAATCAATGATAAAAAGCATAATTGGAACGGATTAGTTCTATACAATATATACATATATTAAAATATCAGTTTTATCTAAATAAATAGAAAATGTTCACAGATGGTATTTTCAATTAATAAATATCGACCTCGTAAATCAAATAAGAAACTTCACAAATTAACTTATGAAAAGAAATTAGACTTAATACTTCGACAATAAAATTGGAAATAGTAATTTCATTATTCGTAAATAAAACGATTTGAAAATTAATTGTTTACATAATGAGAAGGGAGCAAAACGATGCGTTTTTTGAGAGCTTAAATATAAATCCAACGTGAATTTCAAAAAAGTGGTAAGACATATGGGTAACGCTATAAAAGCAAATAGCACTTTTGATTTTGTTAATTAGAGCTTTAAAAAAACATCGTCTTTCAGATATATTGTAAAGGGGTAATATTAAATTTTGTGAAACATTTTTAAAAAGAATATATGCGGATGAGTTACACAATTAATGAAATTAAAATAACAAAAAATACATATGAATGTAATTTTTACATATATTATTAGAACTTAAGGCTAATATATATAATATTAGGACTTACCTTTACTTGATAGGAGTTAAGACGTGTTTTTGGTAATAAATTAAAGGATGAAAAATCCAATCGGCGAGAAAATATTCCATTACAACCAGAAGTCGAACTAAAGGTAGCAAATAAAAATTAGTTATAACAGTTATTTATTTTTTTATCAAAAATAACTTAAATTCTATAATATAACATTAGACAATTAAGAAAAAAATATGCATAAAATTATAATTATAAAAAATTACAGTAACATTTATTTTTTTGAATTCTTGTAATTTGGCGTCTACAGTGCCTAGACTTTGATAGGATTTTTATGTTAGAATACAAATACGTATTGTTTTCAAATTCCGTTTGGGAACAATAATTTCTATATTTTAAGCAGGATATAGACGATACTACATGATACAGACAAGGTATGTGTGCTACCAAATCGCACCATCTATATTCAAGTTTTCATACCAAATTTCGGTCTGAGACATGTATGCGGTAATATTTAAAACTGTTCAATTATTTGTTAAGTCTGCACACATGTCTTCTTGTGTATATCGAAATCGGAAGACTTCTCATAATTTAAGAATTTTGATGAGCGTCGGACGAGCAAAGATTGCGGAAAAAAATTGTAAAATAACTGAAAAAGTTGTAGACATTTATTTTCTTTAAATGAAACAAATTTGAAAAAAAGTGCTACAAACAATTATTAAAGAAGTTTATATATTTTAAAAATTATTTTGTACTAAAAACATTTTTTAAGAAAGTTTTTATATTTTAAAATTATTTTGTGAATAAAAAATATTAAAATGCAACATTTTAAAGAATTAAATTAAAAATAATTTTAGTTTTAAGAATTAAAAAAAGAAATTATGTTTAATTCTAAGAAATATGAAATCTTTATAATTTGAAATAAATAAAATGTTGCTGTTATCATCATCTCTATTCTTTCCGTTTCGATTACTATTTTGCACTCTTATTTGCTCCGCTGTTGTTCTGAACGCTGTAGAAAATAAATCAAAATGAAGTATGCAAACCTTGTTTCAAAGTGTATAGCAAAGCGCATACTTGAACTTCATACTTGGTGTGCAGATATATAGCATCGTCTATATCATGCTTAAGTGAAAAAATGTGTTTGCAGAAATTTTGCCAAAAACTTACCAGTGTAAACATTGTGTAGCAAATACGCAATTGTTTAGGTTTGAAGAAATTTACAGTATGGCAACACCTAATTCTTCAGAAAGAATAATAAAAGCACACACAAAACAATTGACAAAACGAAATGCTAAAAACATTAAAAGAAAAAAACAATCACAAAAATACCAAGAAACAAGCAAAGCATTCAAAAATTAACAACAATTTTGAGATATCACAGAGCACATAACGACTTTTTGTGTATAGTTTTGAAAGAATAAAAGCCAAAATAAGTTTAATATTATAGACAACTATATAACAGAATTCTAGAATTTTAACTTTAAAATCGTTACTATGTTGGATCGTTAATATCTCAATATAAGATTTGATTCCACAAAAGAGCAAAAGAGAGAGGGAGAAAATAGATCAAGTGAAACTGAAAGCAAATATTGAGTAAGAGAGAATACCACTTTTGTTTTCGTTTTTTTTTATTAATCATGACTTCGTTTAATTTCAAAGGCACTGTATTCTTTTCGTCTTATGAACTGTTAATATATAAGCAATATGTACTCCACATACACTTATGGTAGATGCGTTTGTATTTATACATATCTATATATATATATATTCATCGCTTACATCATTTGCAGTTCATATGTGTATTTTATACGTAATATGCCATTTCCATTTCATAGCTCTAAGGAATCTTTATTTATTTCATATGTTCTTTATTTATTTCATATGTTTAACAAAATTTTGTACCGTACATTTTTTTTTGTACCTTATGTTATATATATACATATATATATATACAATATATATGTAATATTTATGTAATTTAAACTATAAACTTGTATATATTGCAAATGCGTATATGGAATTATTTAAAGTTTTTGGCTCTAACAAAAACAAGTCATTTGAAATAATACTTGCTTTATTCTTATTTTTCCGGCTACTTATTATAATAAACTTTTTTAACTATTAGACACTAAAATTTAATCTGCGGTGAAAAGTATACAATTACTATCACATAATAATTATTTAATGTTTTAAATTAAAAATTAAGGTACACAATTTAATAGTTATATAAATAAATATTTATTTTTGATTATTAATATTTTATATCCTACTTTATTATGCATAGATATATTTTCTTTTATTTAACAAATATAAATTTGTTAATTTTTATTGGCAATTTCTAAAGATGTTTTATAAAATCTGACGAAATTTTAAACATTACAGGTACTGCATAAAAGAAAATGTGTCTATGCATTATTATATGTATGTTTATATGAGAGTGTTTAAAACAAAGGTACAAGAGTATCTGCTCCATGAAGCCTTTTCAGTGCAGAAATTCTCTGAATAATTACACAAACATAGAATTATTTTTACAGAAAACTTTATAAACTTTGTAACTTAAGACCAAACAAAGAAAAGGAAAAAATTATATCGCTAACATAAATTATTTATATACATACATACATATAACATAGCATTCCTTTTAGATATGGGACTATTTTATCCACATAATAATAATATTAACAGAATTATTAAGTTTCTACTAACACGAGCTTAAAATTGTGATATTAAATATATGTGTATAGCTTTGCAAAAGAAATCGAAACAAATTATTTGAATCCTTAAACTTGTATAATACAACCTAACTACACTATCAAGATATAGAAATATGCTACATTAAAAAAAAATTTGGTTTGTGAACTCGACACACCATTCCTTGCTAGAGGTTTACTTTACGCCAAGGTAAAGTATTGCCTATATATATATATACTAAATATTAAAGGATTGCAATAATACAAAATATGCACATTGTTACATAAAACAGATGAAGAATTATAATTGTTTAAAAAAAATTAACTATGTAAAAGAAAATGTAAATAAGCAGAATGTGCTTATTTAATGATGTTGATATGCAATGCATACACATACATTTGGTGATTACTTATTGTAATTCGAATCTTTTGACAACTTGTTTTTAACAAATTTTATATAACTAGTATACAATAAATGTAATATCGTTACTTATATTATTTATAGGCAATATTTTTGACATTTGACTTGGACTGATCTATGTTTTATTGTAACAAGGAGATATTTTCCAAACAAATAATTTAACTTCACTAACAGAGGAGCAAATTTTAAAACGTCTATTCAAAAAAAAATTTTTTTCTAATAAAATTGTTGCCAAACAACAATGCTTTTAATAAATGTTATTTATATTTGATTTGATCTAATTATTCTTTAAAATTTTACGTATTAGTTTAAGATTAAATTAAAACCAATAAAAAAAGGAAATAATAATTACACAAAAATAAAAAATTAAAAAACTTATATAAATATGCTTCAAAAGCAATTTCGTATTGCATTTTTTATATAACTGATTATCTTAATATTCATTTTTATTTTAAATGAATATTAAGAAATTGAAATTGTTTTTTTAACTGTTTAGTTTTGAAAACTTTTTTACGATAAAAACTTACCGAACGCGTTCTGAATATATCTCAACTTCTTTATTTTTCTGCTGTTGTACTAATTGCTGCTGATCAACTATATTTGTTTGCATTAAATCTGCACCATGTAGAGAGTGCGTTTCTGGACTTAGTTGAAGCAAAGATTGTTCTTGTGATTTCTGCTTAATCAAGACGGGTGTAGAGGAAGCGCTACTAGAATTGTTGAAATTAATAGCACAGTCTGCATAATTTATACCAGTTTTTGAGTAAACATTTTGCTGAAGTGACTGCTCATGTACTTGTTGACACTTTGGCAAAACAGAAATATCTTCACTGCACTGAGAAGTTGATGGCGATATTGACTCTTCGGTTGAAGTAATACTCTCAGAATTAGTACATAAATCTATTCCCAATATATTGCCATTGCAATTATTATTGTTAATAATGTTGTTTATTGATGCTAAAATATTTTGCTGGGAATGAATATGTGAAAATGTTTGATGTTGATTATTGTTGTTATGATTTAACCCAGACCCAATAACTCCAACTTTTGGATTAGTCACTAAATTGTTACTGTTACAATTAGTAATCACATTACTTGAATTAATATTACTGGTATTTTGAGCATTACCGTTACCAACTACGGATGCAACACAGCTACTGTCATCATATGATCCACTGTGTTCTTGTTGACCGTTCGTATGGTATGCATTTGTATTTAATGTTGATAGAGCCATCACTGCTTTTTGACTACGATTTCGTTTTTTCTTTTTTTTTTTCTCATCGTCATCATTGCAATTTTCAATGTTTGTCACACTATTTGTCAAGCGATTACTATTTGCAATACCATTTGTAAAGAGACTGTTTCCGATATTTTTGGTTACGTTAGCCAATGGCCAGTCTAAATCCTTTCGAATATGGCCTCTGCCACATTTACAAACACACGACTTGTTTATTAATTCGTACCCTTTTTTTGTCCACAAGTTTTGCGAACGTTGCCTGTCAGACCAGCAACGAGCACGTCCGATGGATTTAAAAGTAGCGAGAATTGACTGCTCCCACGCATCAAAGCATTCACGATGCATATATTGTCCAACGAAGCAATTCTCATTATTGCATATTACACGTACGCATTCAATAGGATCACCAAATGAAATTGAACTGTCAAGTCTTAGGCAATCACCGCTAGGATAGCAACAACGCAAAAATTGTTCTTTGTTATTAACATTTGAATTGTTAAAGTTATTGTTTGTGTTAACCGAGGAAGAAGTTGTTTGCATAGGAGACATGATTTTTTAACTATACTTCGTAAGTCTATTATTTAAACTTATCGTCTTTAGCTAAAATTGAAGCTCTTTACGTTTTACAAACATGCATATGTATATTGAAAACACTTAGCAAAACATATCCTTAACACTTTTTCATTACGTTATGAAAAAAATAGTGCATTTTACATGATTATCGTCATATATTGTATAGATTTTACAGCAAACTGTTTTTCCACACAATTTCAACAATTATTGCAAATAAATTTTTAATTCCGAAATTCTATGATTTTGTACTTTTAAATTTTTATTGCAATGTATATAAAATTTTAAAAAATAAAACTAGTTGATATGCGGTTTTTGTTTGAGATCTTTTCTAAACATCACTTTTATTAAATTCCGCCAACAAACACTCAACACAACTTCGCACTTCACAAGCTCAATACTAACTAGACGAGACGAAATTATTTTCAACCATCCTTGCTTTCAGCAGTTTTTTTTATAACTCTCTTCAAAAAGAAAAGAGAGCCATAAATTGTCAACAATACAACGTCGATGGCGTCAGCAGACAGTTTCATATTGTATCGCTTATATTGATATGTAGTAAAGTTACTCCTCACCCTTATATTGTGGGTTGAATCAGTTTTACAGTATCACTTCATTGAATATTTTATATGCTCTGGCGGCAAAACATAATATTTTCAACAAAACCAATCTACTATGCCTACGAATTTCACAGTAAAAGTAAAATAAGTCAAAAAATAAAGAAACGCAAATTTCTATGTAGATTCGTATGCATGCATGAGATACGATTTGATGTGATTGCATTGCATTGTTAAAAATATAAATATATAAATATATATTTTCTAAATTTTAAGCCAGAGATTTACGCTACCTGTTCACTGTATGTGTGCTTAAAATTTGTATTTGGTGTGCAGAAATAATTCATAACAGAAAACCGGCAAAAGAAAACAAAACAAAACAAGAGAAAATCATCGCTTCGGTATGCTTCAAGCATTATACATGTCTGATGCAACATGTTTTTATTTATATTGAGTAATGAAAATTCTGTCCTCTGTTACCCTGTTGGATTTTGAAGCGTATATAGGTACATGTGTACATATATATCTATATTTTTACGTGCGTATTAATAAACATATATACATATCTGGAAATACAAATGACTTACTACAGTCAATGCAAATATGTATATAAACATACATATACAATAGTAGCGGCTTTATACGTTTTTATTAATATCATACAATACGAAAATATTACACAATGTATGTACATAAAACATAGAAATGTTTTTGATACATATGTACATATTATGCAGAAATGTTATGCATGAGTATATACACATGTTATAATTTATAAATATGTTATATATTATATACATAAATAGAAATTATTTATAAAATAATTAACACTAGATTTACGCACTGGGTCCAGTTGATTCATATACAATGTTATTACTACATATTTACATACATACCAGTGGCGTAACTACATTTTTTAGGCCTGTAAGCAAATTCTAACTAAAGGGCCCCTATCAACATACTAAGGGGCCCCTCTTTTTATACTCTTTACACGAAAAATGTGAAAAGGGTATATAAGGTTTGTCAAGATTTTCGTAACGTATTAAAGGAAACGTCGGAAATACCATTAAGTATATATCAGTACAGTATCAGTTCAAACTACTCTCTCAGCTTTTGAACTCTTCGAATAAAACTTTACACACACACTTTTAGCCGACCCTGTTCACCATTTGATTTGATTGAAATTGGACGTCTATTTCTTGTAGCTGTGATATAAACTTAACAATCGGATATGAGGTTTCTCCGTTTTTAATAAAGGTATTTAAATAGAATTTGGTGTATACAGTACTGATATTTGCAAAAGACAACGTACAAAATTATTTTCAAATGGGTTTAAATCTAGATATAGCTTCCATATAAACTCTCGATTAAGACACATACTTTTCTTAGAAAAACTTTTTTATTTTATAAATAGATTTAATATTTTATTTGAAGTACATACATATTATGTACTTTAAATTTAAAATTTACGTATCTTTTATAAAATGCAATATGAAGTTATAACAACAAAAAACGTTTACAAACATTTACAGTGGGGCCCCCTAAATTCGGGGGCCCGAAAGCGTTGCTTCCAGTTGCTTCCCTGTAGTTACGCCACTGATACATACAATATATGTATGCATGAGTGATGTTATACAACAAATTAAAATTATTTTTAAGGAAACATGTTTGGTTTTTATTATACACAATGACATGTATTTTACATTATCGAATAAAATATAGTAACTACCATATTTCTACTGCTATGCTATGGACTTGATTCAAAAAATGATTGAACATTTAATCGCTTTAATCACCTGAAATTTTTCGCATACATCAAGAAAATTTTATTCAGAATTCTATTAAAGAATTCTACAAATAAACATTGATAATTATTCGTGTCAATTTATTAAGTAGCAAAAGTTAAAATGGCTTCTCTACGTACTCATCTTTTTCATTGATCTAATTGATGTAAGCACCTGCAAGAAATGATATAAAATTTTATAAAATCAATCTTGGTTCGCCAAAGTGGACCAAATTTTCGATATGTGATTGCAAATAGACTTTCGCTTTACTTTGCATCATTTATTATGTTAAATTGGCTTATTACAATCAAATACTTAAGTAAATGTTTAACATTTGTAAAGACATAGTGTTGAAGTGCTTAGATTAAACGTTTTATGTACATACATTTGTATCTGCATATGTATATAAATTGTCAATTGCTACAGTTCAATTCTGAAACACCCTGTACCAGATGTGTATTCACTTCGTCGGAACACATGTTGTATTAAAAACGAACATTTTTACGTTTATGTATACGATGTGGAATATTTTATTTGTATTTTGCATGTACATATATATGTTATATGGCAACTGGAAACCATGGTCAAAAAAAAGTTGAAATGGTATTATGAATCTGTAGAAACTGAAGAAGTGAGTAAAGGTACATATTAAGAATTTATGTTTACAGAGCCTTTAAATTGTATGTACATATGTATATACTGTATGACTGGTTATGTATGTATATGTTATGTAATTGAAAGCTGATTTGTTAGTTTTTCATACGAAAATAAAACTGTAATGATATTTACCATCATTTCACTATCATTTACAATCATTATGACTGTTAGAGAAAATAAATAGTTTTAGTTTTTGACTAATAATACAAGTTCAAAATTATTGAAGAGAAAGTTATTTTTTCAAAAATTTTGTTCTCTGTAAGCATTTTGTTGTGTTCAAAACTACTAAAATCGCAATCATGTAAATATGATTTAAAAATGTAATTGCAGCCCAGCGAAACCTTCAAATTTGTTATTTTTTAGAGCAGATATATAGGATGGTAGAGTATAAAAACTCCGATATGTGTGTGGAATATAACCATGTAATATAGTATATGTATATGTGCATATGTATATGTATAACTCATTAAGTAGACTTCATCTTATGACCAGATTTCCTTTGCATTAAAGCGGCACAATTTCAAATAATTTCACTTTACCTCCATACAAAATACATTATTTGCATAAAATCCCTAAAACTAAGTTATTAAATAATGCATACGGAAATAAAAGCATTAATTTCTAGCCAAATTCATCTTCTTTTATCTTCCATGCAAATAACACTTTATATGTTTTCGCACATATTGTGCACATACTTGAAAGAGTGACAATATTACACTCCTGCAATCATGTATTCTATTTTGTCGCCATTTTTAATTTTTATTCTTATAGTTAGTCTTCTGGATCAAACTTTAATGAATTTCTAATAGGTGGATTGGATTACCTGACTTTACAACAGATAGCAATGCAGGAACAAAATCAAGTATATTTTGTATACCTATGTGCCAAGTTTTAAACGACACCTGTAAAAATTTTGACTTCATCAGTTGTTCGGTTACGTCTTAGCAAATAATTTAAACGTGGTTAATGAAGAGCGTCCGGATCGTCCAGAAGAAGTTATAACTGAAAAATATATTGAAAATATTAAGATATTGTGTTTGATGATCCCAAAATTAAATTACGTGAGATAGCAAAGATTACAAACATATCATTTGATTATTTGGGTCTGACAAAGCTTTCGGTAAGATGGGTGCCGCATTTACACACAATTGACCAAAAACGACCACGACTTCTTCATTTAAAATATTATTTGAAAATATTTATGCACAATCTAGCTGGCTGTGAGTGGTTAATAGTGACAATTGATGAAATATGGATCCATAACTTCACACCTGACGGAAAACAACACGCCAGAGAACAGATACAGCCCGGGGATAGTGCTCCCAAACGACCACGATCGGTTGGAAAAATTTTCTTAATCAATTTGGAAAAAGAAAAAAAATAACGGCAGACACCTATTGCAAATTATTGGATCGATTAAATGAAAAACGACCAAATTTGTCGAAAAAAAAAAATTTTGTCTTTGCAGGATAATTTACCCGCTCACATATTAATGAGAACCATGGCAAAACTAAGTAAATTATGGTACAAATTGTGTCCTCACCCATCGTATTCTCAGATTTGGCTCCCAGTTACTTTTAGCTGTTTCCGAACTTGAAAAGATAGCTTCAGAGAAAGAGATTTGCATCAAATGATGAAATGGTTCCCATTCCACTGAGGTATATTTTGGAGGACTTGATAAATCTTCTTATTTAAAAGGCATCCAAAAGATCGTTGGACTCGGTGTGTCGAACTAAAAGGGATCTTATTGAAGCATATAATATAATTTTCCAAAAAAAATACGTTTTTATTACTTAGGGCGGGTATTTATCAATCCACGTAGTACTTGACAGCTGACAGGTCGAAGTTGAATATTCAGACCTCTTTTCTGCTTGATATCTAACGAGTATTTTAACTAATAATTTTTTATTGATGTTTTGTTTAAACAGTTGATAAAAAGATTTGGGCAATGTTTGAGGAAAATATCCTATCGCAAACATCTGTAGAAAATGGTGTTTTCGCTTTTGTTGTGAAAATTACTGTACGTAAGTTCATAAAATTTGTAATAAGGTTTAAGGAAGCCTGTATTTGAATAGTCGTTTTAAGCCTGTTTAGATAACTCATAAACAAAGCCATAAAAATTGGAATTAAATTTTTATCTACGATTCCATTCGGTGTTAACTACAAAGAAGGTGAAGAAGATGCTATATATTTGGTAGGATTATAAGAATTTCATTTACTATAAGCTTGACTGCGTCGTCA